TCAAAGCCTTTATATTGAAGTGGATGCCACTTGAACATATACTCATAAGTAAAATAAACCAGACACACATGTGTAAATATCATATAGTTTCCCTAGGATAAGAACTCAAAAAAAGAAATACAAGCAGAAAGGTATAATACAACTAAAAGGAAAGCAAGAACTTGCAGACTAGACAATGAAAAGAGAGCAAGGAGAAGAGCTAGGAAACATGACAGGGGTCAGCCATACAGTTACATGTAGAAGATGGGTAAGGCCATAATCCTGAGAATCTTTAGAAAATTTTTGAATCTTGCAGTTGATTCGAATGATTCTCACCCTGACTAACTATATATACAGACACCTGTGAACTAAACAGCTGCACTGAAGATGGCAATTTGTAATAGTAAGTTCATGCTTGACGTGCCTCTCATTTTGGTCTTCTGAATATGGGCTGCTTGTCATGACATGCCAGTTGCTGCCGTGCTGTCTTTCAAGTAGATGACTGTTGAAAAAGAAGGGGGTGGTGGATGAAGGCAGGAGACAAAAAAGGAATGTTGTAGGACTGTCTTGCTACAATGTTGTATATGGTTAGATTTCTGGATTTATGTGTAAACATAAGAATTATATCATTGTTTATGCCTATTTTAAAAAATATATTTTAATTTTTTAAATGTTTTTTTCATCATATTCTGTAGGGACTTAAAGTTCAACATATCATAACTTGATGATTAATACCTGTTCCATGTTATGCCTAAGATGTTTGATATTCAGTCAGATAGTGAGGTTAATTTTAACAGCCTAGGTTGTATGGTAATAACAATAAGCTTGTCTTCTGGAGGGTTAACAACCTAAGTTTTCAGACCAAAATTAGAGAAAAAGGAGGGCCACAAGGAAAGCTAATATTTTGGCCCTAGCCTTCCAAGGTCAATTAAGACTCAGGACATATGAGAACTTGTACTGTAATGTCATGTAACTCAGTAGTGTCCCAAATTTTCTGATCAAGGTGATTATGGGGCCAAAGAGGAAAGTGATCAATGATGTATAGTGCGCCTAAGGAGAGTCACATGAAAAGAAAACATTCTCTCAGGCTTTCACGGGGAGCATATTGGCCAAGCAATGGCCGTGATTTATCTACATGGCTGACACTGACAAACGTTCTACAATCTGAGTTACAGGATCTCAGGATAAATCCTGAGGGGATTCACTGACCTTATCAGATCCAAAAGCTACAACTCCTGTTGCATAAGTCTTTCTTTATCTTAGTCTTAACCATCCAGCAGAAAAGTATAAAAATAAAATATAAGAAGTAAAGCCATATTATGTTGAACTGTAGGGGACTCAAGTCAACAATTTCTGACACTGCCAATCAAGTGGAAGACCCAATACTACTATGGATTACTGGACTGTTTTAAAATATTTTGTGGAGTTAACACACTTATAATATTCAAATAATGGAACTAAACAAAGATGGGGATATATAAATAAATGTTCATTTTATATCTGTGTATTCAAAATGGATAGGACAGATATATAGTTACATTCTCTTAATGAGTAGAGGAATTTGTTGTAATAATATTTGTAAATAGAATACCATGTCTGCATCTTGTACAGCAAATAACCACTAGGAAGACAATATGCAATGTTGAATTATTGAAATTAATTATTGAAACTGTCCTACCAATTTGATTTGAAACTGTCTCATTGCTATTTGTCTGTCAATAAAATTATGGGGAAAAAAGGCTACTGCTCTATATTGGATTATTTTGCTGAATTCATGCACCTGCAATATTTGAATGGTAGTAGAATACCTATGTCTGAAAAACTAAATTAAAAAGGGAGATATGATTGAAGGACCATTTTGTGGGGAAAATACACAAATATATCTGTATATGCAAAATAGTTTGATATACAGCTACTTTCTCTTAGTTCAATGAGAAGAAAGATTTGTACTAATAGTGTTTAGACAAGATATGTCTGCATCTTGTACTATGAATAACTACTATGAAGGCAAAAATATGCAAAGTATTAATATTGTAACTGTCCTACTAACCTGTTTTGAAATATTCTCATTGCTGTTTCTTTTTCAATAAAATTAATAAAAGAATAAAATCCTCTTCATGAGTGTCAAGTAACAAGGTGCATCTGGTGGACAGCTTTATATGGCAAATGAGTTACTGCCCATCAGTTGTACCCCTGACTCTAGAGGCAGGCTTTAATAATAGATATAAAATGCAAAGAAATGAAATAAAGTTGAATTACTCACCCACCCCCAGTCCTTGGAAAGCTTCTCATTCATAGAATGTTTGACAACCATTATTATAAGGTTTTTCTATGGAAACAGGAGAGGTACAGTCTGTAAAAGCCTTAAAGAGGAGAGAAAACTCGGGTTTCCTGCATTAATGCAGTAAAGGAGGATAGTTGTTATGAGATGATTAGAGATGAGGTGGAGATTACTTCATGGTCATTGATTCTTTATCCTGATATGACAAAAATAATGCTAGCTTTGAGAAAGGAGAGTGGATATGATTGCTTTGCATTTCAGATGATAAGGAAGGCATTTCTGAACCCTACATGTAAAATCACATGAGAACATTTTTTCAGTTGATTTTCTGTTGCTATAACAAAATACCTGAGGATATATCCTTTATTTAATAAGCGTTTTATTTAGGCTACAATTTCATAAGATCTGAGATGAGAAGGCCTTGTGCTTTTAACCCCTTTTTATGGCCTCTGTTTGGATGCACCACAACAGGAGGAATATGTATGAGAGCAATCCAGGGACAGAGAAGAGATCAAAGGTCTCCAGAGGCCAGGCTCATTCTTTTAATAAAAGAATGTTTGTTCGAACTGTTTTGGAACTAATCTTGGCCTCTGTCTCAAAATAATTACACTTCAAGTTTGATACCCCACTAACCCAGTTACCTCACACTAATTCCTGTCTCTTAAACAGTCTTCTTTTCGTGAACTTCAGCATGACAAACAACATCTAAATCTTGCAAGGTGCCAGGCAAAACAATAATAGATTGTTGATGGAATGCCACATGTCATTATCAGAGAACATATGAAAGAATTGAGATCATTTTAGGCTGGAGGGCATAACACAAATGCAGGACATCTGGTACAATGTGAAAGAGAAGTAATATTTGTTTGTGTGATGTTTGGACATTAGAAAAGCTATTAGCTATTGATGGCACAGTTCAGCTAGCCAAACATAAGCATATTGCTGCATGTTTAAGATTGGTCCAAATTGGCCATTGTTTCTGATTTTTCATTGGATGTGGCTAGTAGTGTACATTTGCCATGAATTTTGGGCTATCATTATGAAAATCCCTTGGAAAGACTTGGGGCCCTGTGGTCAGCTTTGGTCACCCTAAGCAGGCACTATAAAGAGTGCTAATGAAATTGATCAGTTAAAAGCCACAAGAAGAACAGTCTTCCTCAAGGGCTGGGAGAGAAGTTCAGATATTGAGAATTCTTTGTACTTCTTATAGACACATTCTGTCAATTAGAAGCAAATAACAAAGTGAAGGTCCTTCAAAATCTGTGCTCTTCACCTTATAAGCAAAAGGCTATAATACAAAGGGTATTTGATTAGAACCTCCTAGCAAGAGACCTTAGATCATCCTGCTCCCCCAGCTATCATAGCTCAGAGGTTAGGATCTTCTTTATCATTGTAAATTTTCTCTTCTTTCCAGAAGCCTGAAGGAATAAAGATACGGCTCCAAATTTGCTACATTACTGAAAAAAATATTGTGAATGAGCACAAATGTATATACAGTCTTGAATGAATTTGTGTACATCTTCATAGTCATTTGTGTTACACTACATGGGAGAAGATGTTAACATATTATTGCATAATCTTCAATATTCCAGAGATGACAGTTTAGCAGTAAAAGATATGTTTATGCTGATTTTTAGAAAAATGAGAGAAAGGATGGTTTGTAAATGGCTTTACTTTAGTTTAACAACCATTCCAGGGACAAACATAGACCTTATTGGTCCCAGCTGAACTG